CTTTGATGTGGTGTACTTGCACAATGGAGCGGAGGAGCAGAACGACGAGTGCAGCTGGAAGGTGAGGGGTTTGAACACGAAGGAGAACCTCAGATCTCAGATCGGGCACGCGCAAAGAGGCAACATTGGACAAATACCAGCATCTGTCGGCTAAGCCAGGAAGCCTTGATAAGTTTTATGTCAATTAATGAACTTATGTTTCATGGGTTTTTCTTTTTTAAACCAAGATTATCACCATGCAAATATTGTACAATATTTTCCACAAAAGGAAAAAAAAACGACAACTATAAATGGCAAGGGGATGTAAAATAAAACAGGATTTTGACCATCTGCCTGTGCCCTGGGTTTTCCAAATGGGTGTACATTATTTGTTTTATTTCTCTTATTTTCTTCTGATTATTCTACCCTTGTCTAGTCATTGAATATGTGCCATATCTCCCGAATGTGTTTGGCTGCCCTCGTCTTCCTGCAGGATGTGTACACCTCCTTCTGTGACCTGGACACCAAGGGCACCTGCTACCAGTTTGAAGTCTCGCTGTGCGGCCCTGCGATCGAGCTGCACAACTGCATGGCCAAGCTGCTCTCCCACCCCTTACAGAGGCCCTTCCAGAGCCACGCCTCCTACAGCCTCCTGGAGGGCGAGGAGCTTCAGGAGATCGAAGCCACAGTGTGACAGAAGCGGTGGAGGACCAGGCTGTGGGGGAACTGTGCATCCAGCATGTTGGCAACATGTTTCCATCTTGACTTTGATGGCTTGCATTAGGAAACCCGGATTTAGTCACTGTATCCTGGAATGCATGTTGTACTGAGTTGGCTGCAAGGTTCTGATTTGTAATTATCGTAATTATCAGGAGGGAGAACAGTTTTATTTGCCTTCTATGCCAGTGAAACAATCATTGGATCCTCACCTCTGCAAGACTGCCTGTCCCACTAGGAAATATAGTTGATTTTTTAATGAAAATGTGTATCATAGCTTTTCCAGTTTTCAATGGGTTGGTGCAGCATAGGGTATAATGTTCCAGCCATGCACAAGCAAGGACAGCCTCATCAAGAATGGGATTGTGCCAAGTTTACATCTGTTTCATCCTTAAATGACCTATTCCTTAAGCCAGCTTGGGTTTCAGATTTTAATAAACTTTGAAACAACATTTTTCTTGGTAAGTGCTTTCTTGCTTGTGTATGGGTGTGAGTTTTTGTTTTTAAGCTGGATGTTGTTGGTAATGTTTGTTTTAAAGTCCTAGTTTCGTGAAGATCAATGCAACTGTAACGATTAAAAAAAATACAGATAGTTGGTCCTATTATTGATAAAAGCATCTTCCAAAAATGAAAACAACGTATCATTATAAAGAAGCACACCACTTACTCAGCACCTAAGGGCAGTACACCACCACTCTTAAGTCAATTTATTGTTTCAGTGCATTAAAAGAAAAATCTGACATCTGTGTTCATAACATCTTTCAGTAAATGAATACTATAATACTTAGCTGGAGGTCACACATGTGAAGTACATAAAAGTAGAGAAAAATACCTTACTGAGTGCAAAATAAAACTCTTAATCACAGCATTATCTCCAAACAATATATTTAAAAAATGAAGGCCTCATTCCTTGTTTGGAACTACTTACTTATTTTGCTCCTAGTTTATGGTAAATTAGCTAACGTACGTTTTGATCTGTAATATCCCACTCTGCCAGAATTGTACTCAAGGTCTTAGTGCAGAGGTCCTTTCCTGCATCTGTTCCTCAGTCAGCAGTCTGTTTCAGGTTCTGTTCCAAAGTTTTTGTTATTGCCAGGTTCGTACTTTCTATAGCTCAGCAGTTGTTCAAGCACTTTCCTGGTCTCTCTCCACCAGTCAGTCAGTCAAAAAAAACAAAACAATGGTTTTCTCATCCAGTGTTTGTAACTGAGGCAAAATATTTCACCTGTGTTCCGCCCACTTTACTGTTCACTTCCTTCATGGCTCCAAAGGGTTTCTGGGACATGTAGTCTTCTGGCACATAAACTAGGATAGTTATCCGATCTTTAATGCTTTTCGCCTTCTATTGGAGACATACCTGCCTTCTACAACACCCCCCCCCAGTACACAGAATGTTACCCAACCCAGCTCTCTTGTAAATGTTTTCATCTGAGCCTTCCCTTTTTACAAAAAGAAGATGCTGTATAGTCAATTCAATCATGCAATTTTGAAAGTTGTGGGACTCACCATTACTGTTTGAAAGTTAGGAATTTAATAAGAAACCTACACCTGTAAAAGAACTGGAAGTCCTTGTGTCTACGTTTTATGGTGTGAAATGGTTCAACTACTGTCCTGGGATAGCCAGTCCTCTTTGGGCTATAGTACTTCAAATATAAAAGTTTATAAATAATGAAAAAGTCCACTTAAAAATATTGTACCTGTTTTATGTGACTTTGTTGAAGGTAAAACGCCCCCAAATGTATTTAAATAGAACTATAGAAAAGCTAGGTATTTCTGTATATTAGGCTATGACTGGGTTGTATAATTTCTGTAAAATTACGCTCACCATAGTGTTACTAATTGAAGCACGAGGTGTGTCTTATTTTGCTGTACATATATGCAATTCCATGTCTCTTATGTTGTTTCTGATCCACTCCTATGCTGTCTAACCTCTTCTCTTCTGTCTCTGGTACCTGGTTCTTTTCTCTTTTCTACCAGTGTCTTCTCTTTGACCACTCTTGTATCACATCCCCCAAAACCCCTCTTATCACACTGCTGTGATTCTCACACTCTGTGTCCCCCCAGCATTTGCATTTTTTTATTGCGCACTGCACTTAGTGTGTCCCACAGAAGCATCTCCATCCTCTGATTGAGCATTCAGAAGGCCAGTTACTTCTATGTGGATGTGCATTTAAATACACCAGCAAGGCGCCTTAGCTGAATTTCCAGGGCCTCCGGGGATCCCAGCCAGTCTGCCAGCACGAGAGGCTGGCACAGAGGGCTGATGGGCGCAGTCTGGGTGGGCTGCTAATGTTATCCTCCAGGTCGGGGAGTCCGGGATAGCTTTCCCTTCTGCATGTCCTGCAGGTTGCTGTTGGATTTGCATGCGCGCCTGCGCTGCTCTGGTGAAGTAAAAAAAAAACAACCACTCCGTGTGCTGATTAATTCAAGTTGAATTTGTGCAGATACTCCGTTCATAGACCCACCGCGAATTCTGAACTGCCCTGGTTTATATCGCTGGCCATCTGTTGCACGACTCTGTACTTTGCAGTGTTCCAATATGTCACATTTTAGCAGTCTATGGTGTAACTGTCGTATCGCTCGAGTCACCTATAAGATAACTAGTCGGCTATAAAATTATTCCAATTTTATTTTATAGACAGTGATCATTCTGCATACATCGTAAGTGTTGACGAATGTGTCCGGCTAATTCAAAACGGCAGTTAATTCAGTCATACAACGAGTAGTGTACTCTATTGCATGCAGTGCACACACTAAAGTCGGCATAAACGTGTGTCTCACATTATCCCGTGTTTTAGCAAACACGACTTTTTTTTCTTACAGGAGATGCGTGTTTTTGCTGTTTTACTCGTTTTGTAAGCAGATGCACTCGGAATATCGGAGACACGACCACGCAAAAGGGAAATTGTAACCCCGTTGTTCTCCCTTCCAGAGGGACTGGCTCGGCTGCACCAATGATCACCAAGCGCGGGGTGGGAACACGGTCACTCTGTGCGAAACGCACAGGAAGGAGGCGGCGAGGGAGGGAAGTTCAATAACAAAGTGATTAGGAAGATGGCCCGGGCTCGGAAATGAAGAACGGCGACACTTGCTGATATAAACAGTGTAAAGACAACACCGATACTTTTTTAAGGCTTCGCTCATGAAGCTGAACAAGGCAGCAACCACGCACACAAAAAAAAGTGAAATGAGGCTGAACGAACATGCAAGAGCCCGGCCATGAGTTTCAATCACGAAGAATTGGCCGAGCGGCTGTGTAAGGCCGTGAATGTTGGAGATCCTAGGTAAGACTACACTAATTGGTACGCGTAGTACAGCAGTGTTGCATGTAAACCGCGTATGTTTTCTACATACTGCTATAGAAGCCAGGTAAACACTGTAAGCACCCTTACGTTGCATGCTTTTGTATGCATGCTTGTAGGAACGAAATTGTGTTCCGTTTTTCGTGCAATTTCCATCGTGCAATAATAATCGTCGTTTTGCGGGTAGTAAAAGCATTAGCCAGTAAAGAAAAACAAAAAACACGCCAAGAAAAAACAACAACAAATCAAATCGCGTCGCTGCAAAAAAAAAAGTTAATGTGAAGTTTCTCTCCGCTTTTACTGAGACTGTGTTCAGCTCCCGCAGGGTTCGGATGAGTTAGCTGTATTTTTTTTTTGTGGCAGCCGAACCCAGTTCAAGGTTCCCGGGCGCCACAAGAAAGGAACCACTTCAGAACTGTGTTCAGAGCTTTGATCTGCGTTCGGTTGTCTGATGTTTTGGGGGAAAAAGTTGCGAGACGTTTTGATGGCGTGCATGCCTTGTGTTGTAAAACAGACAAGTCTAGACATGTTCCCAAAGGAAACGTCTTAAATAGCGTATTGGTATCAAATAGCAATACATTAAGTATGCAATAGTATAATGGATTAGTATTAAATAATATATTAAAACTGGGTGAAAGCTGGGACCCTGGATTGGAAGAAGTGGTTTGAAAACGGATGGACTTGTTCAGGCTCTGCTCTCTGACCAGTCTTGGAGCTGTTGTGTAGCTCCGGTTGGAGCAGGGGCTCTGTCCGGGAGGGGTGGCAGATCCCTGACCGGCTGTGCTGTGCTGTGCCCAGGCAGGTGGAGGCGCTGCTCGTGCAGGGGGCCGACCCCAGCCTGGTCCTGCAGAAGGGGGCGGCCGCTGTGCACCTGGCCTCCGGGAAGGAGACGGAGAAGCGGATCCGCTGCCTGAGGCTTCTGCTGCAGCACGGCGCCGACCCCAACGTCAGGTGAGCCCTGCTCCGGTCCAGCCACAGCCTGCCTCCCGTTCGCGAAAGGCATCCCACAGCGCGTTCTGCGCTCATGAACGGAGAAATGAACGTGTGCCTTTTTGTCCATGGGACCTTTCCTTTATATCGTTTTCTGTGTCTTTGCACGCAGTAGTCTTCCATTTCATTTATTGCGTGTCAGTATTGCATGTATTGCAAGCCGGTTTCTTGTCCTTTAAAAGTAATGTGTTTTTACGTTTTGGTGCATGCTCATTTCAGGGCCTGGATCCGTGTTTTCAGATACACAAGATGCATTTGCTGGACAAACTGTTTTTTTTTTTTTGAGGGACCGCGAGTTTTTCGCCGGAGTCAGTTCTCTTCCAGCCTGAATGTAGCCAAGTTTAGCACTTCACCTCTGCATTGAACATCTAACAAAGTCCAAGGCCAGGAGCCCAGCTCTGCCCTTCTCACCTCAGAGCCTGGCAGGCTTGTCCTGTTATAGGTTGCTAGATTCCCATCTGTTTGTGTCTCTGGCTACATCCTCCCCTGTTATCGTGGAGGAAGAGTGTCTCATTCTTGGACAGCAGGCCTCTGGGAATCCTGTTTTTCACCAGGACTCCACGGGGGAACCTTCTGAGGTTCCATGAGTCTAGGAAGCTATGTGCTGGTCCCTGGCTCTTGGCTTTTGATATTTTTGAGCCCCAGCACTGGGTTGCATCCCCCTGTGGAGCTCTTGAGTCTCTGGCCATTGAAAACCTTGGGGGTTTCGATCATTATTACAGATATGTGTGTTGTTTCCTGTGGTTCTTGCTGTAGAAAAATGTGAATGAAGGCAGGTTGTCTCACAGGTCTGTGGATGACCTGACACCCTTGCATATAGCTGCACTATGGGGTTGCTACCAGAATCTCAGGCTTCTGCTGCAGAACGGAGGAGACCCCAGTCTTAAAGACCAGGTAAGCACCAGTCTTATAACCTTCATATGATTAAATTTACTAGAGCAGTATTTCCACTTAAGGTGAACATGCATGCGGCATGCAATAAGGGGTTAGACCTTGATAGTGTGTTTGCTTTCTCTTTTGGTCCTGCTCTGGTTTGCTACAGACTTTTGTTTTTTGATAATTAACCTTTGTCCCTCATTGTTGAGCTGCTTTGAGTAGTACTTATGAAGGAGACAGTTCTGTGTCCTGAGAGCAGGTCTGTTTCTCTACAGGATGGGAACAGGGCTGCTGACCTGGCCAAGCAGCAGGACAACCGAAAGTGCGCCCAGCTTCTGCAGGAGTACCAGTCTTACAGTCTGTTGCAGCCAGAAAAGGAAGACCTGCTCAGATATGAATACTGTAAGAGTTTCTTGAATTGCATTCAGAAGAAGTTTCATACCTCTTTGTTTCCTTGGTCTGATCTTTTTATTCTTATCCCTTGCAGCTTTTTATGACGGTGAAACCAGCAGAGACAGTTTCGCTATTGGGGACAACTGCACATCTATGAGCCACAACCTGTCTTTGCTCAGCGACTGTGGTGATGGACCACTAAGTAGCACTCGGAGGTCCTTGCGTGATTCTAGTTGTCTGAACCTGTCGGCAATTTCCACCAGACCCAGCTGGGGGGGTGGGTGTCGTCTATCGGGACAGCCTGACTTTTCCCAGCTGCGTGGGCCTTTCAGCCAGGACTGGAGCCACACTCGGATTTCAACGGCAGGTGGAAGAGCCCTCGGTGCGATCCTGCCAGCGCTGCAGGAGCACGTTCCTCTCTCCGCTTGTTCGCTCCAGCCCCAGGAAGGGGAGCTGTGCTCGTTTCCAGAGGGCTCGTCGGAATCCCCGTCTCGCAGTCTCGAGCCTGTGGACACACCCGTGTGCGCTAGCCGCCGTGCAAGCCGGAAAAGTGTGAGTTTCAAGCAGGTGAACGAGTATTTCCCTGCGTCCGCCCCGACGTCTCCCCTGCGGCCCGCAGCTGAGGAAGGCCGTCCCATGGCCGACGTTACTTTTGATCCCTCGGAATACCCGGAATTCCTGGACGCGGACCGCTTGGCAAACGTCTTGAGCTCTCAGGGGATCGATGTGACCTCTCCGGATCACGTCTTTGTGTTTTCCCGAGGCTCGGACAGTGCCGGCGCTGATCTGGATAAGACGCAGGTGGGATTCTGGCCCTCGGCTGGAGAGGAGGAAGGTGGAGAGCCAGAGGAGGTGGAACCGGTGCCTCCTGTTCAGCCCCCACCACCTCGCAGCTCCAGCTCCAGCTGCAGCAGCA